GTCTCTCTCTCTCTCTCTCTCTCTCTCTCTCTCTCTCTTTGTGTGTCTCTCGCCTCCGAATGGACAGAGCAATAAAAGGGCGCTATTCCATTTGCACCCGGAGAGTAAATCAAATTATTACGGTCGGCAGCCGCTGAGAGAACAATGGGAGGAGGACACGCAACGCCGTTGTGTCAGGGGAGATAACAGTTTTAAAAGAGCAAGAAATTGATGGTGCTAAACACGGTGGCCTCCCGTTGGTAATTCTGACGCCATTTATTTTTATTTTTACCCTACCGCTTCCTGGGGATATGTTTGTTGCAAATAATGCAAAAATCCTTCCTATGCCTACTGTTCATGCCTACTGATTTAGCTGCAGGTAACTTTAACTATTCTTTAGGTACGGCTCAGGTTTACAGTCGCAAGCTCATAGGCTTTTTAGGCCAACAATACTTCAAATTACGCACTCCGCTAGCTCAGTTGGTATTATGCTGGATTACGGAGCAGATGACCGTGGTTTGAATCTCAGATTGGGCGTTTTTGTATAGGGGTCATTTTGTGGAGTTTTCTAAGCTATCAGCCCGCTTGTCGTCGTGCTATAGGAGGCGGACGTTAAATTCGGAGTTCTTGTCTCTACATGAATAGCCTAATAGTGTTGATAGCGGTGTTAAACCCTATACACTTACACTCATACTTGACATTGTTGGATTTATAAGTGAAAGATGTTATTTAAGGCAGTTACATAGTTGCAATTCCGTTCCTTAGAGATTTGAAAACTGACTTTATCTGAAAGAAATCAGAACATCACATCATGAAGATTGTATGTAAAGCTCCTCAGGAAGGAAAAAAAAGTTAAGCATTCACCTATTCTAATGCAAAAGAAGGCATGGAAATTATGTGTATGAACCCTCTGAATATTTCATTCCGACTGAAGTACAACTATACTTTACCTTACAGGAAAGCTTTAACTTTTGGAAAAGGGCACTAAAGTAAAAGTATATTCAGGCTACTAATTATGTCATAGTGTCAATTTCCTATTTCGTTTTAGCCTACTCAAATCCTTATGGTTGGGGGGAGGGTGTCTGTCTCACTCCCCTCCGCGTAAGTGAAAGTACTTATCAATGTGATACATTATACAATATAATTGTACTGAAGGGGGTGTAAAAGTAAGTATATTAAATTAGTTGGCGTTTTTGGGTAGGCTATATTTTTCACTGTCATTAATCTAACAACAACCACATAAAAATTGATGAAAATTAACCAAAGGGCAGAAAAATGTAAAGGTTCTTTCTTTCAATTCTATTATTTAACTGAGCATCTGATTTCATTATGGTACCTCACGTATTTGATGGGTCTTATTCCTCTTCTTTTCCAGGCTCGCGGGCCCCGAGTGCATTCAGCAACCACGCTTACTCACACCAAGGCTACTACCCAATGCAGCCAGTGTACCCAACGCCTCATGGGTCTGTTTATTCCTACGCCAAGGATCCGTATGCTCCCCCCGGGAGTGCTTACTCATCACAACAGTCCCAGCACCGGTCCTACACGCCCACAAGCAGCAAATCAGGAAAGTCCAATAGATCCAACAACAGCACTAGCGTGACTTACAGTCAGGGGACTGAGAAAGTTTCCTTGCCCATAAACCTCTAGCGTTTGCTTCGGGCTTGGAGGATGAAATGGAACATTTGAATTAACTTTGACAACAGACTTAAATGTCATTTTGATCTCCTGGCAGAATGAAAAGCACTTTCATTACATGTATTTCATGGCTGTTTATAGAAAAATAAATGTATGGTTTTCTTGTGGATATGGAATTAACGTTTGGAGAAAGAATTATTATGCTTGGAAAAAAAAACATGCTTGTACTCTTAACTGACTGTGGTAAGAAAGATGCTTCAATCATTAGGTTCATAGCATCTTGTCGTATACATTTTTACAATAGGCCTATTGTAATGGTTTCTATCATTGACATATGTACATTATTGTACATTACATTGGAAAACAAGGGTATTTAATCATTTGAATAAGTTTTGTCATGTACATAATCTGTCCTTTTTACGTGTATTTGCAAAGGCTTGAAGACATTTTGTGTCAGTGACAGTCCTTTCAGAAATAAGAACTGATACTGGTGCTTTTTTACTGATAATATACTTGTATGTTTTTACTTGTAAGTTGTATCGTCTGTGGGATGGATTAAGATTGGTTACTTTATGAGGGTGTTCAGGGGGTGGGGATGGGGGGAAGGGCAGTTAAATTGCTACTTCATTTGTGAGTCTTTACCTCCATGTGTCAAAAAAGGGATATTATAAGTTTATGTATTGGATGGGTAAGAGCAAACATCTTTTGTTAGCATGTTTCCCCCCCCCCCCACCCCACCCCCACACCCCCTCCATCCCTCTCTTAACCTGGAGCATTACCAATAAAGCTGAGAAAGAACCTGTCAATTAATCCATAGTCTTTGCTTGGGTTCTTATAAAAAGTTTTTGTTTTCTGCTCTGATGTGCATAGAATCTATAGACTCCTAACTGTAAGTGGATGAGGTTCCTCGTGGTTCCTGGTTTGTTATATAGTATATATATATATATATATATATATAGACTCCTAACTGTAAGTGGATGAGGTTCCTCGTGGTTCCTTGTTTGTTATATATATATATATATATACATATATATATATATATATATCAATATCTATATATTTAATTGTATATACTTATTTCTAAAGACTACAAACAGTAAGAGGTATAGGTTCCTCTAGGTATCTATATATATATATATATATATATATGTATGTTATATTTTTTTTTTTTTTTTTTTTTTTTAATATACATATTATATTTATTATTTTTTGTTGTTGTTCTTTTCCACAGTGAATGTTATGTCTTTGTGGTGACCATTGGTAAGTTTTCTCATTTCCTGGCAGTGATCTTTTCTGATTTTCTGAATCATGGAAGAGAAATCTTGTTTTAACCCTTTGAGTTCTGGTCCCAAAAAACCTACAGAACCTGTTCCCCACGGCAGCTTACGTCATTAAATTTACACAATAGCTCGCTGAGACATGAATTCACTGAGCCGGAGGATAGAAGTAGAAGTATCAGGCAGTCATGCATGCTCTCAAGTCTGGAAGGTTAGAGCATGCCTTTGTCACAAACCTATCCAATATATCAGTAAAATATATGTTTACTAAGGAAGCAAAGACGTTTTGTGCTAATTGACGATGAAGATGTTTATTGAAACAAAAACTATGCCAATCCAATTAGTGGTTGTTATATATTTTTTGGTACTAACATAAGGGGGCCCCATATTTTGTGTTTCTGTCTGGTCTGCCAGTCACAAGCAGACTGATCACTCTAGTTTCAAAGAACACTAGAAAAATGTAACTACGTGTTTACGGTCTTTTGTGAGGTTATGAAATATATGACTTTAGTAAGTGAAAAATTTTCAGTTCTGCCAGGCTTCTAACTTTATAAGAACAAACTGTTTATTTGGATAAATTCATTGCTGAATCTGGTATGTTTTAACTTGACAGAGAATTGTATGTATAATTGTTTTTCCTTTTCCAGTCGTTCATTTTTTCCACATTTGACCTATGAACTCTATTCTCTTACCATATTTGTATGGATTGTTTACAACCAAAATATCTTGGTTTTCACTTTTCTGTATATCCAATTCATTGATGTGCTCTTCCCTTCCTTTTAAAAGTAAATTTCTGTAACTCCTTGTGAATCTCCGAAGGGTTTTGTCCCCCCAGAGGTTCATTTTCTTCCCCCCACTGCCACCGCCCAATTCATCTGTGATTCAGTTTCATGAAGCTGGCCTCACGTGTGACTTCAGCAACCTTTTGTTTTGCCATTGCTGTTGCTACTTGTTTTTTTTTCTTTTTATTAAAGTAAATTTTTAATGAATTCTAACTTTGTGAATTCAGTTTAAACTTTATGCTTTATACAAATCGTCTTTTTTCACTCACTTTTGTGTGTGTGCAAATAAAGCACACTATTTTGATAAACATCTCAGTTTTTTTAAATCTAAATAATGCTACCTTTTCTTTACAGAGCAGGGGTACATAGCCTTCTAAGATCTTGAGAAATCCAAATCCTGAAGCTATAACGAGATTCAAAGTTTAACATACATGTTCAATAGCAGCTGTAAAAAGTGATAGTAGATTTTCATGTATCTGTGTCAAAGACTGTTCGCCACAGCTATTTCTGAGGCCAGGTTTCTTTTTTCATATAATTATTGATAGATGAATGAATTTAATGTAACGTAATTCATGTATGTCTTGACATGCCTTATTAAGTGGGAAATGCTCCTATGTATACATAAAAAGAGCATTTTTGTGCATAATGCTTTAGTGGATGAAGTGCAATGTCTTTGTAAGGATATGTACAATCACCTTTTGTATGCTTTTATATCACATCTGAATAACTGAAATGTATCATGTTTGTACAATGCAGCTTGATGAAATTCCAAAATATCAGCCTGCCCAAAGCTGCTCCCAGTCCCTCCTCATAAAAATAAATTTTGTGTTCTTGAGGAACTGTGTCTTTGAGGTTGTATATATATCTTGAGCTGCGATTTTTTTTTCTTCACTTTTCTGTATAGTTTTACTAGTACACCTATGAGTGGATACATCTACACAAATGTTTTTCAATCAATGTTGGTCTGCATAAATGTAGGTGGCTGTAGAATACATGTATCAGGTTTGAGTTTGGATTGAGAGCGAAGCGAAAGTGTAAAAGAAATCTTGTGTACAAAGCACAAAGGCAGAATGATATTTTCGTGTGTGTGTGTGTGTGTGTGTGTGTGTGTGTGTGTGTGTGTGTGTGTGTATGTGCGGGGTGGTGTGTGTGCCTGGTTATATGTTGATGTGAAAGTATGTGTGTTCTTGTTGTGTCTGTGTGTGTATGTATGTGTGTGTATGTGTGTGTGTGTGTGTGTGTGTGTGTGTGTGTGTGTGTGTATGTTTATGTATAATATGTAATGTGTGTACGTCAAAGTGTGTGTGTGTGTATGTGTTTGAGTGAGTGAATGTATGTTTGTTTTGCTTACCAGTTGTTTTGTCTCTCTGTGCGTGAAATCATTATTTGCAAGTGTGCATTTTTTATTTTGTACAAAGTAATTCTATAATATGTATGGCTTGGTAAGCATGAGTGTGTAAAGGGTTTAAAGACACAGATGCAAAACAGCATCAAACTGAAGAAGTCAGTTAACAAATGGTGATGGTGCGAGATGTGTGAGAATTGAATGAAAGGAAGGGAGTGCTCCTATCTTGATGTTACTCTTACTTTGGTGATATATTTTGTGTAATCTGTGACTATTAATTGCTCTCTAAACATTAAAAGTCTTATAACAGTAGTTCACATTTGAAAGGAAATGAAATACACAGATTCAGTTTGAAATGAACAGAAATACAGAATTTGACTAATTTGCTAAGCATTCAAAGGCATTACAACACTGTCGTCGTGGTCAAATCCAGATAAAATGTGAATGTGCGTTGATACATAATGGCCAACTGTTCTCTAAATACATTGACTTCTCTTAGAATTCAAGGTCTCACATTACAAGGAACGGTTTTATAAAATAAATATTTTTTCAATTGTTTTTTTTGGTAGTGATGATTAATTTGTCTGGACAGAGAGGATAGTTGATTTAATTTATGAAAGTCCATCACTAAGTTTTGTAAATCTAATAGGTGACGGTACCTCTACATTGAAAGCCTTATGAGTTTTGACAGTTTCATCTCTGATCAGAGCTGGGTATTCTGCTCTCTTACAATTTCGCTTAAGTATTTTCTTTTTCATTATCAAGCATAGTACAGTTTTCTACCCTTATTTGATTTATGACTGTTATAATTTATAGTAGACTGGTTTGGTACATGTACAAATCCTGTCAACAACTACAAGGATGTGGTAAATGCTGTACATTTTTAAGTAACTTATATTTTTTTCATTATTGATGCTTTGTGCTTAAACGTTTTGATTATTGTTACATTCTCTTTGTAGTTGTGTGAACCAGGGTGGTCATGCCCTGCCAGATGAATTTTGTGTTTGTCGTTTCTTGAGTTGTATTTTCCCTGTACTTGTGCTCTAAGTGCATTTAGTGTGCAGCATCACTGTAGTCATTCATTCTGAAAACCCAGCTGTACATAGGTCACTTTTTTGTGTTCATTTGTATTTTATCCTAAGGTCAATGACAGACGCAAAAGAAGTCAGTACAAATTTTGTCATCGTGTGGGAGAGATGAAAACCTCTGTGTGAGTTTTCTGAGTGAGTGTGAGTTTTCTGAGTGAGTGTGAGTTCAAACAAGTATTATTGTGCTTTGTTGACTATGTTTTCAGTATAATAAAATCCTGACATGACATCCGAGAACAGCCTTCTCTTGCTCTTGCATTTTAATTCGAGAAAGTGCAGTGTCTCAAGGATGACATATAAAGAAACATTGTGTATGTGTGCGTGTATGTGTGTGTGAGTGTGTACGAGTGTGTGTGTGTGTGTGTGTGTGTATAGGCCTATGATATGTGTTTGTGTTTGTATGTGTATTTATGTGTGTGTTTTTGTGTGTGTTTGTGGGGGGCGGGGGGGGGGGGGGTCTGCAACCGTTATAGGGGCATCGCGTGTCCGAGTTTGTTCTTTTGATAACTTGGAAAAGTCAAGTTAACGTTTAGATTTGTGATCCATATAGTCGTCGAGGCATGATGGAAGAACTTGCGACTTTTGTTGTACAGCTTTTGAAAACAAGACCCAGTTCCTTTCATGACATCAGATTCTTTACTTTTATACCCTCCAGAAGAACTTTGTGACATTTCGGTTGTGTTGAGCTAGACTTATATTTCTTGAGAAATTAAAAAAAATTAGTACT